CAAATCTTAATTTCTGTCCTTGTGAACAAGCAGGATACCACACTATCCAGAAACCAGCCAAAATTAAGGAAGTTAATTGATTCTGTAATATTTCACTGTTCTGAAATGAGTAGGATGCGGCAAACACCAGCAACATGCAATACAATGGAGATATTTCTTATGCACCTATGTTAAATACACTGAAGTAAATTAAAGTTTTTTAACAGCATCATGACTTCTAAATCTTTTCAGGTGTTACTGATTAATAAATTTGTATTTTCTGTACTTTCTGTGACTGCAAAGTTGCAAGTCATGCTACCTGTTTGGAACGTAAAAGATACTTTCTAGATTCAGCTACTGACTTTCCTCTGACCTTTTAGTGAATATAATAAATTAGAATTTGTTCTGCTTCCCTCAAAAAGTTTTGATAAAAGTTTCCACAGACAGTAGCTAGACATGGGTGAAAAAATACTTATAAAATGCTTACCTTCCAAAACTTAATTAATAAACAAAATGCCATTAAGCAAACATTAATGAAAATGTACAAAATTATTTTGCCAAATATAAGTTCAAAATTTATATGATTTCTTGTATGTAGTCAAAAAAGAAAGGAATATTTCATATTTCTTTCCAAATATATTTTTAGTTTTTCCTTGTTGATCAGTGTTTACATCAATTTAAAGACAATGGATTTTCTCAAAAATTAATTCTCGTTTTGATTTTTTTGGTGCAACAAAAATCAAGAAAAATTGACATTCTGAAAAAAAATGGTTTAAAAACTCTCATTTTGATTTCATGGTTGACTATATTCTTTTAAAATGGAAATAAAAATAGCTGTGAAGAAGGAAAAACAAAAGAACTAAAAAAAATTCTGTCTGGCTTATTTTATTTGTGAATTCTCATGTTATTAGTTCTATCTTCTGTCATGTAGAAAGTGACTTTTCATCCAGCTTGACCATATTAGAATAGAGTTTAAATAAGACTCTGAAAAACTGGAGAGACAATAGAGAAGCCCAGAATACCTTGTTGGAAAAATAAAAGTTGTATTCACATGTCTCCTTATATTTCCAATTATCTCCTTATGTTTACTATTTATAGGGTGGCTTTGAACGTAATAGAAAACACTGTCATGAATAAGTGAAATTGTTTTAGATTGAACATCTATTTGTGCATCTTGCTATGAGCAGATTACAGCTGAGTGATTTCTGTGCTGTTCAAGTGAGCTGGATAATAATAACACAGTGTTTGAAGGCTTCTGGTAACTTTTATTTCCTGATCTCCAGTTCAACTTATTTGACACAAAATAAGGAAACCTAAACTCTTTATATTCTTATATAACATGTATGTTACTAACCAGCTTCTTGACAGGTTCATAAGTTGGTTTTTTCTTCTTTTGAGTAGTTAGTGATGGGCCAAAAGAGAGTATTTTCTTTTTACTCAATATTGGACAAACTTAGAGGAACATTGTAAAAAAATTTAATTCTGAGAGAATAAGGGCAAGCCAGTCTGAAACAACTTAGAGAAATTATTCCATTTAATTTTCTCCATCATTCATGATGATTCTTGTGGGTCCCTTCCAACTCAGAATATTCTGTTATGAGCATAACGAGCAGCTCTGTAGCCATTAACAAATGTTTATGTAGTTAACCCAGTAGGAGCAAATGATAATAACAGGTTTGAGGGAAATAATGTAGCAAAATTGGTCCTCTTTCTTCCAACTCTGTGTGACAGGTAGCACAACAAGAATTTAAGAAGTCGTAGGAACATGTGATTCAAAGGCAACAGAGTCACACTGGACAATGAGTGAGAGGAATGAAAGGTAAACTCTTGACAGACAGTAATGCAATTGATAAATAGTTTGGCCTGGGAATATTATTGCATATGATTGAAGGAGAAATTATGGAAATATGATATGCTGTAAGAGTGAATGAGTGAAAAACATCTGCATATACAGAGATGGAAGTGGGTGGATATTACCTGATATTTGCAATGTGAGGATTTTGTTGGTTTAAGTGCTTGTTTTGTACTCTGGCATTTTTTTTTACTCTCCTTAGACTGTTCCTCCTATCAACCACTTTCCTGAAGGCCCTATGAAATACTACTCTTTGCATTGTTGTCACTAACACAAGGTCTTGTGCACATCTGCTTCCATAAAATCCCTTTAAATATACTTTTTTTTTTCTTTTTGCAACAGACTCTGAAAACTCACTGTCAATTGCATGTCCAGTAGCTACAATAGTTTTTACATACTTCTGACTTTTTAAACACTCGTAAGGTGTCTTGTTGTAAATAACTTGTAAGTTCCAACTGAAGGGCAATATTAATGTATTTTCTTTGTTTCTGTGGTCCTGTGGCAATTTTGTCTTAAGAACATCATTCAGACTAAACAACACCATGATTTTGTTTATTACACATTGGTATGTTTTGCTAATTTTCATCTGATTTCATGTGGCTAAGCTTACCAGGTACTACTTAGGAAGCAGGTATCCTGTTCTACAATTTTTCCACTTTGAGATGTCTAGGAATTTCACTTTCCAATTCCTCAGTATTTTATGGGTGCAAGAAGACATTGTAATAGTGCCCTTGATTCCTAAAATTTCCTAAAATGAACTGAGAAATAAATGTCCAAGGATACAGCAACAAATTTTAAAAAATGTACTATTTGTATAATAATGTTAGTAGCATGTTTATATATGGTTGTATACTTTCACAATGTATAATAATATTTTATTTAATAACATACACAGGATTAAATTTTCAACATGAGATTCAGATTCTACTGAACAGTTATAAAATAACTTCCTCCAACACAGTAGTAGAAAAATTTTTAGATTTTTAATGAGTTGTATGTAGAATTGTTGTCTGAAACTGTTCAACCAATTTTTTTTTTTTTTTTTTTTTTTTTTTTTTTTTTTTTTTTTTGCAAGCGAAGATGTAAAAAACCCAGATGTTTTGCAGCCTATTTCACCTCCTGCCCTAGTATGTACTCAGTGAAATATATAGCATGTCACTAATCTCAGTGTTGCTGTAGACAAAATTAGTTTTGGAAGAGTGCCTTTTGTCTATTTATATATTTAATGGCTAGATATTATTTGTTTGTTTCTTCTTATTGCAGGCTGTTGAAGGATTAATGGGGATTTGGAAGAAAAAATTTGGTCCTCTTCACTAAGTGATTATAAAGAAGATCAACTGTTTGTATCACCTGTAAGACTTTTAAAAAATCTTCATAATGCTGATTATGTAAGACATTTCTTAATATTCTTAGATTCATATTCCACTAAGGAATATAAAAATTCATTAGTTAATTAAAGCACTATTGGTTGAAATGAAGAAAAATCCATAATATTCACAGTTTGCTAATAGATCAAATAGTTTAACTTGATATCAAGTCAATAAAAATTTGGTCTCCATTGCAACAAAATAGATTGCTTAATGGTAGTTTATTCAGCTTTCAACTTCATTGGATTTTACCAGCCCATAAAGGAGAAGAAATATCCAGCTAAAAGAGAATGCAGCATTCCACTTTTCAAAGGACTAATATATTTCCAATATCTCTTGGTGTTATGCCAATAATTAGCTAAGAGAAAGTGAGGAGAAATAAACCTTCAAGTGTTTTCCTCCCACAGTAGCTAATACACACCTTTTAACATACTGGTTTGGCTCTGATTATTTAATCTCAGCAGCATTTCAAAATTGTCTTCAGTGCTTGTCTAGTACAAAATTTGTGTAACCTAAAGATTAAGGGAAAAGAAGAAGCATTTCAAAATGTTTTCAGATACGTAGTCTGTTTTGTGATAGTTAAAGTATATTTTTGGTTACAGTTGACTAGTTGCTGAGGTTTCTTTTTACCAGACTTGAGAAAACTCAGTAAATTGAGGGGAGGGGATGCTAGATTTGTGACACTTTCTCAGTCTTCAGATTGACAGCTTTAAAAGCAGTTGAAAAACAACACACAGTGCTTGTCAGCTAATGATTTGTCTTTGGGAAAATAGAGCTTAAAAAGGATGGAGCATCTTTTTACGCTTTATCTGCTGCACTTACAGATCACTTCTGACAATGTAAGTATGATTCAAAATGGAGAACTATAGAACAAATAAACTGAGATTTTGAAACTAACGTTATGTGTTTGGATAGATAAATTGTGCCAACATGTTTTTAGAATAAGGCTATTCGAGGTGACACAAGACAGTATTTAATCTTTCTAGACTAGAATATGATTAGTTTAGTTACCAAAAAAATTCTCATAAACATTGAACTGTAGAAAGTAGCACTTCTGAGCAAGCAAGTAATTGTATAACTTGCTCCTGTCTCAGAGAGCATAAGCACTTCAGACTGTCTTGCATGTGTGGAGAATACTTCAGCACAGAAGTATTAGCAATCGGTTGTGATGTCACTGGAGAAATTCCATTTTCTCCTCAAGCATGAAACTCCTGGTGAGAACAGGCAGGCAATCATTAACATAGTTGTAAAAACTGGTTTATTTTTTAAAAATAAATACAAAAATATAAATATAAAACATTGGCAGATAGAATTTGATGAAATGAAGTTGCACAAACTTTTTTTTAAACCAGCTGCATATTACACTTATTAACACCACGTGTACATTTTGTTTTATTTTAATGTACAGAACAGGACATATTGGATTTTTTTCTTCTTCGCCATCTTAAAAGCTGCACTTGCAGGAATAGGACATGTACCTAACAGAAGCGGCTTGTACATGAGGTTGCTTAAGGGATTATCACCCTGTTCAAATTTCTGAAGGTAAGATATTTTTTATTTTACTTACTAAAATGTACAACACTGAATTTCCATAGCTTTGGCTCTTGGAAGTTTGATTAAATAAAATGTTGTATATATTCCAAGTGGTATCCTACTAGAAAGAATGAATGACATTAATGGACAAGTTTAAAACAAATTGTAAAAGGAAACCATTGTGCTGAGTGGCAGGAAAATTTTCCTGAATGTTAAATACTGTTGAGTGCAGAAGGTGTCTGTAAAATTACTTCCGCTCAAAGGAAAAGAAAAAAGTAGCCTACTGTAGGTTAAGAAGTGTCTTTGTCACTTTCTCCTCCACCGTACATCTCAGCTAGCTTATTAAACCGAGGGCCCCACTCTCGGAGGTAATCATAGTTTTGGTCTCCTTCGGTAGTACCTGACTCCAAGGAGCTCAAGGATTCAGCTATGGAATCGTTTCCTTCATAGGCATAGGTTGCAAGCGAGTCATACGGCGGCGCGGAGGGATCAGTGTCGTGCTCTTTTAGCCTTTGGTTAATGAAATCTCGGACATCCGTGTTGTCTGGTGCCGAAGGAGTCCTCCGTGGCACAAATAATGTTTCAGGGATAATGTCTCGCCGAAGCTTCTTATCTTCCATAGCTGCAGGATTCCTCAGCGTGCCGATATCAAAGGCTTGGGTGTCTTCCTCTCCACCTCCTTCGTCATTGTAACTCACAATGTTGTCTCTGATGTCCTCTTTAGAAAGGATCAAAGGCTCCTTCTTTCGTTGCCTCTTCAGAGCAGCAAATAGCACCACTATAACTTAAAGAGGGAAACAAAGAATGGGTAAAAACCTCTATTTAACAATTTCTTAGCAGCAAATTCACTGGGTGCAAGAACTACATTTCAGCTACATTTCACCAACTCATTTTTTTTTGATAACTGGATAAACACCTCTATCTGTATAATGGTAGCACAATAAAGTCTATATCAAAAACCTATTTTGCACACATTGTGTGCTCTGCCTTACCAGGACCATGAGCTTGTCTGCATGCTCCTTCTGTAGCTGTAATGAGCATTAAAATAGTCAGGTCTATTCTGAAGATATTATTCCTTTTTCAAGCTCAAAGGATATTGTTAAAAAGTGGGTTTGAGTTGAATTATAGGTCATTAAGTGTTATTCTGAAAACCACAAAAAGGAGGTATTGCAAAATTTTCCTTTTTTTTTTTATTACAGCCCTGAAACCACTGGATAGACAGGGCTTTGATGTAGTAAAATTGCTGCTTACTGTTACACTGTTACATTATATGTGAAATATATACTGCATATTGATTTTTAGTAGTTATTAAAAAAAAAGAGATTTTTTCCTCAAAAAAAAAATTAAAATGAAAGACATGAAAGCAATTTTTGATTATACTATTCATCCTCTCTGAACTTTCTTTTTTTGGACAACTTAGCAGAAGAACATAAATGAGCTTCTAGCTGCACAGTGATAGCTTAACAGTCTAGGACTTGAATTCTTATTTACGGTGTTAAATTAGCAGATAACGAGGGTTTGCCTTAGTTTTTTCCTTTGTATTTTAAGCTGCAGTTGCATTCTTGCAAAATCCAGGATCATTAACTCTATCAATTTGCATAATTTTGTGAAATGAGTCAGGCCTTAAATATTTGTTCCTGGGTAGGGGAAGATGCGTTTCTCTTCTTACCTAGCAGGATAATGATGCAGAGGAGAATGGCCACCAGTGCCCCCGTGCTGAGGCCGGCAGGGAGCAGCAAGGCCTCAGCGCTGCAGGACTGCATGTTGCCCCGGCTGTCACAGGCACACACGCGGATGGCCAGCGTGCCCGTGCTGCTCTGGATCGGGTAGTCGTTGTCCGAGATCACCACTGGGAGAAGGTACGTACTTATTTCATGTCGACTAAAGCCATTCCTCCTCGTCAAAATCCTGGCAGTGTTATCTAGATCGATTAAAAGATACTGTTGTAAGCTATACAAACAGAAACCATATAATCCATAGTAGATGCAAATTACTGTATTTTATATGACTTCAAAATAGATCCTGATATCATAGTGATATCTCTTTTTTCTAACAACATTCCCATTTGATCAGAAAGCTATTTATAAGATTTTAGGTACATCTGGCCTGCTTCTCTATGCCTCTGCACCACTTTGGCGTGTGATTTGAAAAGAGGATTTCTCAAAGCTTAAAATGTTTTATAGATTAATGTATGCAGTATGTGACACAGTTACAGTTCAGGGCTGAAACCCTGAAACACAGGAACCAACCGAGGAAAAATAACCTTCCACTTTGTGCAGTTCAACAAGTACTCTGTTCTAGAAGATTCTTTCTATGGATCATCTGTGACAACACCCACAGGAATGCTGTCAACTCAGTATGAGATTTGCTAAACCAAACCACTTTCAACACACTGTAGAACAATGAATTATGTACCTTAGCACATGAAATAGGGCTTTTTTTGGATAGAAATTGTCTCAGGAATTCAGAAAATGTGAAAGATGGTTGGTATTCCTGCACATCTTTGAGAAGTGAACTTACTAAACTGTATCTGTAGCAGATAAATCTTAGTTGTGTGCAGGATACGTCAGCATCAAAAGCTGTCCACTGAGTGGCCAGAGGGAAGGGAAGGAAGAGAAGGAATGAATAACAGGGAAAGACTATTTCTTCTGCTGTTAGAGCCACAATGCTAGAGTGACAGCCAACACCAGAGTTGATAACTGTTTAGTCCAAAAGAGAGAAAATACAGGTTTAGTGTGCACTAAAAGGAAAATTTAATTTTCATCGTATTTGAGGGTTGCCTGAACTATGTGGTCAGCTATCTTGACAGCTAACTTCAGGCAAAACTAAAATAACCCATGCGCAAAAAGAAAGAAAATAATTACAGATAATAAGGAAATATTAAGATCTATACCTCTCTGTACTCAGGACCTAATCACCAAGATATAACCTTTGTTTAAAATGTTAAATCATGTATTTTTTCACAGACTTCAAGATGTAAAGCACAAAGATTTTCTTTCTTGCTTCCCTTCACTGGTTTTACGTATTTTAACATTTTTTGTTTTCACTCAACATCAAAAATTAAGTGCCTTTAGGATCTTTAAACACCTCTTCTGCAAAGGGCTTAATAAGGTATGCAAAATATTTTATTTAATTACTCCACTTTCCCTACCATTAGAAGTTTTTTTTTCTGCTGTTGTTTGTAGTCTACTACATCCTGAAATATTCATCAGGAACAGAGGATTATTCCCTTTGCCTTTATGCCTTTGACACATTTGAAGACTGATACCACATCCCCTCTCATTTATGTCTTCTGTAATCTAGAGTCCTCTCAATTAGTCATACTAATAATGAAAGCCAAAATTCATAGTCTCACTTCCTCAACAGAAGCTTCTGAAAATTTTCTCTGATAAAGACAGATTGAGAAAGGATCAAAAGAAAATCCAAAGTGGCTCTTAGAACCATTATTTTCATTAATGGTCAGAAAGAAGCAAAACAGAAGGCCAGGGGAATCAGAACTATGTCACAAAAGGCTAAAATGAAAAATCTCAACTTGTCAGATGAAGGCATTTTTGAAAGCTTTTTTTCTTTTGTAGTGAAGTATTTCATCTGTTTCTTACGCCAAGATAACACTTTTCTGATTTTCTTTATAAATTTTTTTATCACATTATTGCTTTATCTACACAGATACAAGTGTAGAAGTCCTAAACCTCATTCAGGTAAAGTATTCTTGATAGTAGTAACCTTCACAACTTCTCTATAGACATCAAAAGCAAATATATTTCAGGAATGTAAACTCCTTCCTTGGAGCAGGCATGAATTTTACCTTCGTTATCCTGAACAGTGAAGTTAGGGTTAACGGCAGCTAAACTGAAGAAAAATTTTTGTCCACCAAGAGGGTCATCTTTGTCTACTGCACTTATGGTTTGAATAAGCTGCAGGAATAAAAGCAAGCAAACAAACAACAACAACAAAGAGACCAAATGCACCTAGGTTTTTGATAGAGCTGTCTGATCAAAGAAGATGAAAAGCATTGGAATAACATAGCATTCACACATATCAACCTAATATTTATTCTGTAAAATATAAAAACTAAAGAAATGTTCAACAAGTGTCTTATATGAGTTTTTTTGAAAAAAGAACATCTGTATTTTTCATGTGATACTTCATGTGCACCTATATTTTTGTAGCTACATAGTGGACATAACTTGCGAGAATAGTTTTAGCTGTAGCTGGTAGTTTTTATACTTCATCTTTGATTCATCATTTTAAATTCAAATCAACACCTAAGACAGTAATTCACATGAAGTTTTCTGGTTTTGTGATAACAATATAATTTTATCAAACAAATATTTTTGAAAGGGAAGTTAACATTTCAAATTACATTTAATCATTAAAGCCTTTTTCTTAAACATGATTTTTCTATTTATTAGTATAGTATATATATATATTTTTCATTATATTAGTATAGGAGAACACACCAACATGATTCCTGAGATTAAAAATTCCAATTATGTTTTTTGCATATTTCTACTCTTGTAAAACATTGTAGCACACCCTAGAGATGCACAAGTTTGGAGTGGGATGAGAATCAGGAGTCATAATTCTCAGAGGTCAATTCCATACTCAGACTCAGAGATTTCTGCAATGCCTACAACAAATTTTGGGTATTTTTGGGGAAAGTAATGGTAGCCCCTTTATCAGTACTTATTTACGTGTCAGGTAAGTAAATATGTGGCTTTTTCACTAAAATTTCTATACCTAAGAGTGGCTACATATTGTTTCCCAAGCAAAATGAATTTTTTACCTTTATTTTTGACATTATTGCCTAACTTCAGTCTGGGGATTTTTTTATACCATGGCATATAAAGTGAATTTAAGTCTGGATTTTTGTGCATGCATGCTTGAAGATTCAGTTATGTTCTTAACTTCCAAATATAGATTACCTTTAGTCTAGATCATTTTTATTCTTCATTTCTTATCCATCAATTTAAATTGCACTGCTCTTTCAACCATGGAATTACATCTAATTTTTAACACTATTCCTTGCCTGTGGTGTACTTGTTAAATGCTGTTTGTTTTTCCTCTTCCAGTTCTTCCAAATACAGCCATTTCTCTTCATATCACAGCTTTTGTCAGGTCTGATCATCTTTCACATCAACAACTGCAGTGCACTCCTGTTTGCCTTAAAAAATGCATGACTAACTCCCAACTTCTCACTTGTCCATCCAGAAAATAACAGTAAATATCCTGATGAGGCAAGGGTGGTATTTCTTTTAATATAGCAGCTTCCTTGCCTTTTCAACAGGAGTTTTGTCTTTCTCTAAATCTGTTTTCTTACATAATCCTCCATTAACTTTCTAAATGCATAAAACTGATAATGCAAGCATAGAAATTTGTTTTTGAAGAATGAATATTTTAATTATTTAGTGGGCAATTAGCATATGAATTTTCATAGATATTTACTAAATGAAATAAAAAACCCCACTAGTTTGTTTTGCTTAACAACTACAGACCATGAATACGGTCAGTTGTAGGTGTTCGGCTGTTTAAAATCAACTGATTTGCTGAGTGTTCATTATCATAGTTTTTTTTTAAAAGAGTGTGTAGAATTGAAAGCACTATGTTGCAGTTTGAAAAATGCTTCCTGATAATACTGATTACTATTTTAACATGATAAATCCTGTTTTACAAGTGGTTTCAAACAGGTTTTTTTCTCTTAGACCTGGCCAGCCATGGGAAAGCCCAATTACCTTGCAAATAGGGATATAACACTCTAAGGTGCTTCTTTCTAGAAATGCCACAAAGCAGTAACTGCAGGGAAGCCAAGGGTGTTACTCTGTATGATAACAGTCAGGAAATTAAGGGCGCAGTAGCAATCATGAGGGTTGTTAGCCACTAAAAAACTGATAAACCACTCAAAACAAGTTGGCTGTATGGTCTGCTTAATCAAAAAAAAAATCATCTTTCTGCTTGGTAAGACCTCTGCAAGCATCAGTTCCATCAACTGTTTAGGTAGATATTTTCTTCTAAAATATATTATTCATTTGCTTTTAAATTTAGGACAAAGACAATATAATCTGCTATTGAGACGAAGAAAGCAGAACTCTTTAGAAACCCTACATCAATTTGCAGTTCAAAAACTTTTTCTTGTCCAAGTGAAAAAAAGTAAACCTTTGAGAGTTTTTGAAAAAGTAAAGCAAAGACAAAATTCTAATACTTGCAAAACCACTGGAAGGTATAAGATCTATGGCTATATAGTGAAGAAACTAAAGTAAGAATGAATCAGGGGAATTGGGAAAGAAAGAGAACAAAATTTCAAGCAAATTGATCCCAAATTGTCATTTGTCAAAAGAAATGAAAGATGCAATAAACAAAGATAAAATAACACTTCAGATTAAAGGATTTAAGAAATTTGTATAAAAGTATCTGAAAATGGGAAGGGAAAATTGAAGGAAAAACAAAAAAGCTTCAGGGATTTTAGTTTTTCAATAGATATGAATTTTAGCTATTTTTAGAAAGACACTTGGTGAATATAACAAGGAAATTTCTGGAAATATGAAGATCCCAAAAGTCATGTTTAAGCAAGATTATGGTGAGAAAAGGATATCCTTTTCCTGATAAGGATTGTTATATGGGTCAAATGAGCTGATAACATGAAGAGCAGCATAAAAATAATTGGTTCAAGAAACCTAGTGTGTTTGTATCATCCATACTGAATTAAGTTATGGGAAAAAGGAAAATAGACCCCATGATTCATATTTTAACATGTTTTTGAAAGAGAATCTATTATGAACTAGACCTATTTACGTAACATTTGGCCATATGAAAAGGGATGTATGGATTGGGTAAAATGAAGGCTACTAACAGCAAGATAATAACAAGCCATTTGTTGTTATTTGTGTTTCATTGGCAGACAATATCTTTTACTTTGTAAGACCTGTATTAAGTTCTAAATTCTAGAAACAACGTGTTCTAGAAACATCACAGTGAACTTGAGTCAGCTGAGGGTGCCCCGGCGGTGGCGGCAGGGCCGGAGCTGTGCCGGCGCTGCCCGGGCCGGCCCCAGGCGGTGCCGGCGGCTGCAGCGGCCCCAGCGCAGGGCAGGGCTGAGCCCCTCAGCCCCGGGGAAAGCCTGGACAAGGGAGGGCAAAACGCTGCCCGGCAGCCAGGGCTGAGCCAGGGGAAGCGAGCGAGAAACAGCGCTGCGAGCCCCGAGGGGACAGCGGGAGCAGGGACGGGGCAGGAGAGACCCGGCAGGGATGGCCCTGCGGCCTGGCAGAGAGCCCGGCCCGGCTGCGCTTTCCCTGCGGACCTGAAGGCGATCCCGTGCTGCAGATTTATCCTGAAGGAATGCAGTCCGTGGGAAATGCTCACACTGGGGCAGGGAGAAGTGTGAGGAGGAAGGGGTGTCCGAGAAAAGAAAGTCAGTAGTGTAGGGGGAAGGTGAACCTGGGAAGAAGGGGGGTATTAAGGGAAGGTGTTTTAGTTCTTTGTTTCTCACGATCCTACCCCCTGTTTAATGGACAGCATATTAAGTCACTTTTCCCGAAGCTGAGTCTGTTCTGCCAGTGATGGTAATTTGTAAGTTTGTCTCAAGCCATTTATTTTTCATCTTTTCTCCCCATATGCTGTTGAGGGGGAAGGAAGTGGCTCATTGGGCACTTGGCTCCCAACCAAGGTCAACTCCTGCCTTCTTGTCTTTTGGCAGATCATTTACAAATAGAGGGCCTCTCTTCTGCTATCTACTATAGGGAAAATGAATATATGGAAAAGTTATACTCAGTTTCCATGCAAGATCTCTAAAGCACGACTGACTTCTGCTTTATAAGCTGATCTTATCTTTTACATTAGAGGATCTTTGGAGGCTGGCAGCTGAGCTGCCAGACATGTGGCAGCTGGGAGCTGACAAAACCAGTGGGATTCCATCTGTCCAGATGCCCAGCTCCTGGCTCTTCTCACCTGGGGGCAGAGGACAGCTGAACTTCTTTGGTTGCAGGGCTGCAGCAGTCTGAGCATTTTGCTGCTTTATTTCCCTGAACTCCTATTGAGTCAGCCTTGTGTAGGTCACATGAGTGCCTGTGTCCTCTTTATGCCTTCATACCAAGACTGTTCTCATTTTTGGGAGGGGTCAAAAGAACAGCATCCACCAAAATAGCATTCTGCCAGAGGTGCTGCTTGTGTATAGCTTGAGATTTTTGAGATAGGATATTTGCATAGTTTGTAAGTTCACAGTACGATCTGACATCAGCAGTAATAGCAAGCAGGAAAACCATCACAGGCTCTTTGAGTCATTCAGACTAAAAAAGTCACATTTCTCTCTTGCTATGTATTTGCATATATATGTATGTTTGTATACATGGATTTATGTGCACCCCTCTAGGTATCATATGTAGTATGTGTATGTTTATATATATGTATGTATACAATTTAGGCTTCTGTACAAATTAAGTAAATGGAAAAGTATAATATTCATTATAATATCTGTCTTAGTAGATGGGAAATAATGAAACAAATACCACAGAATCTGTGACTGATGAAGCATCATTACTTTCAGTTACCTAATAGATATAAATTTCATGGATCAAATGCAATTATGAAAACCTGAAAGGGAAGAAAAATAGCAGAAATGTGGGAGGAATCAAGCTCAGAGAACCATGTTCAGTTTGGATTAATTACATTCTCTCAGGACAGACTGAATTAGAAAAATAAAAAGTCTTATTTATGAGCAGCCAGTAAACAAGAAGAATATATTTACATTCAAATAGATTATTCATGTTATCCTGCATTACATTTTTTCTCTTCTTGCGAATTGTTTTATTTAGGCAATCATTTGCAACTCAGATTTCTTAAAAAATGTTTATATTTATGGCCTTCTCAATAACCTTGGCAGGTTTTTTCTGATAAAGACGCTATTGAGCCCTATAACAATTTAAATAAGGATTTGTGGATACGTAAACTTCTTTAGCATCTCATTTATTAGTTATAAGTGATTAGTGCTATTTTATTCAACTTTTTAACTGATAGCCTATTCTGACTGTAAGCAATAAAACAATGCAATGTCGAAATACTTTTATATTTACTTTTAAATTATACTGGCTTTTATAGTCTAGGTAGCACAGAAAAAACTGTTCCATAAAATACATTTACATGGAAATTGAACTGCTCTCTTAACATTTCCTGTTCACTCTAGACCTAGTAACCTGCACAGAAAAAAAATCTGAAACCTCAGATGAGTAAAATTTGTGGATTCCTGCTTTTTTTTTTCTTATTTTTTTTTTAAATACAGAATGGGTTTTTTGTGAAACTGGAAGAGGAAAATTCAATGTTTTTCGTTTACAAGTTTTAATCCATATGTCATATTAAAATTTATTAAAATATTATTTTAGCATTTATAGTAGACACTTCAACTGTCCAAAATTCTACAGTTTTAGCCAGTGGTTTCTCTTTATCTAACACTTTGAATTCTCTTGTGACTGCCACAGGAGACAAATGCACTTACTCAGTACGTTTAGATATTTTATAAATATTATAAATTTGGGCCTCAAATTTTTTGTTATAAGTTCAAACTGATGTCACTTTGGAAGGAAGAATGGCAACCTGATTGTGAAATTTGCAATACAACCTGAATGTTATCCCTGTGGGACTCCAGCAGTTAAAACAAGCTGGCACTTTTACCAAATTCTGTTCAAATGTACTGAAAGGGTTGCACTGAGGTACTACTGCTACCATTTTAAAGGCTTTATTATGCTCTGGGATGTGTAATAGGAAAACATTTTTTAAACAGTTCTAATAAACAACTGCGTATTAGACATTAGGTATTACACAGTACAGTCTTTTCACTTAAATTAAAATACACACTGTGTAGCCTCTAAGAAGCAAAAGAAAATATTATGTTGCCATTAAAAAAATGTATGTTTTCTTTACAGAAATTTTTGGTGTGATAATGAAAGATGAATCTAACAATTGAAAAAAATGTGACAGATTTTTGGTTTGTAGTCACTGTCTGCATGGATTGAATTATATCTGAATTTTGCTATTGGAGAATTACTAAAAATACAGATCAAACTTTTTAGTTACATATAATGTTCTGATTTGTGAAATTAAAGGCATAGTGAATCATGACCATGTCATGGACATATCTCATCGGGATTTAACAACAGTACAAGGTTAGTAAGGAAAAGTGGTGATTGAAAAACTGATGCACTTGTAACATATTGACATTTCACTCTAAGCTTCACTTACAGAGCTTCTTTGCTTTCATTTTTAACATTTCAAAAACTAATTTAGATATGATTTTTCTTAAGCAATTGGCAGGAATGATCTACAATTGAGTTCTGTAGGAAAACTGGATAGTGGGAAGTGTTTATCAAAGGCATACCTGTCCAGCTCTTGCATTTTCACAGACAAAAGTGTCGTAGAATACTGCAAACTGTGGGGCATTGTCATTAACATCCAAAATTCTTACATAGACAGGAACACGAGTAGTATCTTTGGGGTTGTCTGACAGAAGAAGAGAGAAGAAACATGAGATTGTTTTCTTATTAAGAGTTTTCTGTTTTCTTCCAAATTTCATGAGCAATACACATGCAAGATGAAGTTTGAATCTAGTCAATATTTAGTGTACAAACTAGTAGCAAGTCAGAATCAGGCCTTCTGAAAAATAAGGAATTTTTTTGTGTGGAGTTAAAAAAAAAATGAAGTATTGGCATCTAGTGAGCAATTAAGTTTTACATGAAGATAGGGGGCTGCAAATGTTAATAATATATTCAAATACTGTATATGAAAAGTATGCCCACTACTACAATAGCAAATTTGAAATCTGATCACTTGGTGGGCTCAATTTTTGTAAGGTTTTGATCTTTAATTTTAAAATTCTTTGCATATCTAGTTTGTTTTGCAGAGAAAAGATATCAAGGACATAATTTGTGAATTGTGTTGGTTTTGGCTGGGATAGAGTTAATTTAATTGAGGACATGCATACATATTTTGAAAAATTTTCAAGTCTGACTTTTCTCTCTCGCCTCTCAAAGAAATTCCAACAAAAAAAAAAACTCCTATAAAAATTTGATAAAGAATTTATTAGAGTAATGTTTTTTTAATGTTTAAATTGCCTTTAAAATATGAATGTAGATTTTCAGACCTTAGGTTCAGAAATAAGAATAACCTCCTCCTTGCAATGTGCCAAGATACTACTATTATTTAGAGTGCTCTTTTGTTACTATAGGTTAATTCAGGAATACAAGTGTCCCTGTTCTCACCTGCTGATCTTGTTGCCATACCAAAAATAATAAATAATGCCTGGGTGTAAAAAGTGCAGACGTTTCTTGGAATTCTGCTGCATGGCAGCTAAGCAGCATATGATTTTTTAACATTAATGGAACTGGATAAGTAACAACAGTAACAGATTGTTCCAAATTACTGATTTTCCCCCCTTTTCTTCTGCTTTAAATAAAACAAGACATTTAGGAGCAGCTGGAATTGGCTTGTTATTAGTTATTAGTAACACCTTTGCTAAACAGTGTGATGTGGATCTTTTTTGACATCCTGAATTATTTAAATTTCCAGGTTTAGGATGCAGTTTTTCATAGACTTCTGTATGTTTGTTCTAACTTTCCAAATCAGTTGTAACACTGCTTTCATTCTGTCATGCTTCATAGGTAGCATTTTAAAATATTTAAAGATCTAAATCTCCCTCTTCACTTCTTTCTCTAAAATTCACACCTCTGTGGAGAATACTAGCTACTCCAGATATGTCCACAATGTAAATTTGCTCTAAGTTTCTGTCAAGGAGATATGTTTAGCACTAAGATCTAGTTCATGCAAGGATGCTAAGTTTCATCATTATATAAATTTGAAAATAATTTGTACAGCATTGGATAGTACCCTGAATGGTTGCAAGCTCAGGACAAAGCAGAAAAAAAATAGATTTTGAAAAAAAAAAACTCTCCTTTTTTTTTTTTTTTTTTAATAAACACAGAATGTTTAATTGGCACGACACAATGTTCCATTCATTCAGTCCTCTGCAGTGTAGCTCTTGCCAGCCACATTTCACTGCTGACCAGCATTTTTCCTTACTTTTTTTTAACTGATACAGAATTAGCTCTAAAAAAATTAGTGACTTTGAGAGGAAGTGATTCTTAGATGCTGATTTCAAAGAGCAGACATTTTGTCCCTTAGAAAATTTTCTGTCCATTGATTAAAGCATAGTAACTCAATAATGTAGTAAGTTTAGGAGGATATCTGCTCTTCTCTTTATACTCTTAACATGAAAATATCCACAGACAGGTTTTAAATGGTCCAAGAAATGCTACAGCTTCAGGATGAAGCTGAGTAGAACTTGTAAGATATATTGCTTCTGAGAGCTGTAGGTGTAGATATCATAGGAAGAGATAATGAAAGTATTTCTAAGGAAATGAAGAAAATAATAGAGACAAAAACATAAATTACTATGCTAAACTCGGCTATTTTAACAGCAAAATCATGTTGTTGTCCTCCAAGAAAAGGAATAAAAATAATTACTCCAGTCTTATAATTCAATTGGCTGACACTTCAGAAGTAACTTGGACATTAAAGGTCAGTGGTGGTGGTAGGTGAGGAAAAGAACAATGAGGAGACAGCTGCTGTTAGCCGCCCCACAGTTCACTTTTCCAGAGCATCTAGTATAAAGGGACGGGGAAAATAAAGGAGAGATGTTTTCATCACAAAGTTGCAGCTGTAACTTTACAGGCTAAGGAAAACTGAAAGGAAAAAGAAAAACCAAATTAGCTTACTAATCTCAGCTGCTATAACACTAAGATTGTGCCATTGGGATATCTCACGGTCAAGGGGCTTAGAAGTATAGATGGACCCATTTCCAGAATGAATGTTAAATATCCTGTCAAGGTCAGTGTGACGATCCAGAGAAAACCTAAATATGACAAAATAAAAAGTATCATCAAAATTATAAAAAGTCAAAGAAAACATATATTTCACAAGTCATTACAGGTTTTATGTTCTATATTACAAAGGCTGGTTTTGAAAGACATATATTTAGTTTCTATAAATACTTCTGAAAATTCTGAAGGTTAGATCCATAGAACAAGGAATTAAAATTTGGATTTTAAGAATGTGATACAATACTGTAATATTTGATAATTGAAGCTTTTACAATATAGGAGAATTATTTTAAAAAATCAGTACTTCAATGTCTACTTAAAGAATAAATTTAATCCTAAAAGGAAAATGGTCTTTGATATACTGTTTCTTCAGACTGAGACTGACGGGTAATTTACAAGCTGTTCAAAAGTATTGCTATAAGCTCAGCTTCTACTATTCAGGTTGTATTAATTCACTAGGGATCAAGATAAAAACAAAACAAAACAAAACAACTTGTATAAAAATAAGTCCCCATGCAGAACTTCCATGTATAGATGTTAAAAGACCTTCTATATTTCTATAGTTGCTACACTTCTGGCAGTCATGATGTCCACTAACAGTAGTATCAGAAAATTTCTCTTTCCTGTTTTTTTTTTTTAATTTTTTTTAATATTTAATATTGCCTTCAAATTATAATTGAACCTTTGATTTGGAATTAAATGTAGGATTTTGCCAAATACAGAATGATTTTTAGAATATGTGTTAGAATTGGGCCAATTTTTTTAAAAAGCTAAATAGCACCCTTGTATAGTACAATAGAAACAAATGTTTATGTTTCTATGAAAATTTATGAGTGATCTAAACTGTTCATCAAGTGCGTCTGGTTTCATTTATAGTACTTAACTAAATTAAGCCAAATAAAAAAATGCTGTCATATGAAAATAGCATCTATACAGTTTTGGTGGCTGTTGTTTGCTCACTCCACTACACACAATTGCACTAAAAATGAGAGACAAACAAATAAAACCCCAATAAAAAAGTCAACGCCAAAATGAAATAACATAATAAAAACAACCAAAAAAAGGAAATTAGAACAGCCAATGAAAACTTCTGATAATGCAATAAAGACTTACTCAAATGTTTTTGTTTTTTTTTTTACTACTCACTAACTTTAATAACGCTTAACTAGAATAAAAAAAATCCTGCTATTTTCTAGAGAAATTATATTTAAGACTGTTTGGCTTATATGGTAAGCATTTCATTTTACTTCATACATAATGTTAGTTTTATTGAAGACTAGAACTTGTTTCATCAGCACTCTAAAAGCTTTTCCCAGTGCGAAGTAAAAAGCAATCCTGATGGGCCTACTTGAAATCAAGTTTTTATGAATTGTGGCACTGGAAAATATTTTTGAGTGTCTCTTGTGTGCAAGTAAATTTTTGTTGCCTGACATATTTTTAGGTTTACAGATAGCACCATTCTTAATTCTGTCTATCTCTGGGACACTAATAAATAATAGAAAAAGCCTCTATGTGAAATTAATGTTGTATTACTATTTATCTTAATTTCTTTAGCAAATAATGTGTTTACAGACACTGAAGTATTACCTTATTGGACTTGAGGCAGAATCAGGATCTCGTGCCATTACCGTTCCTATTATTGTCCCCAGCTCAATATCTTCATGCACCTCAAAAAGGTAAGAAGACCTGCTGAAAACAGGAGGTTCGTCTACATCTTCTACAGAGATTTTCACAATAATTGTGTCTTTGAAAGGCCCAAGGTAATAGAAACGGGGATCCACATGGGTATTTTCAGCTTCTACTTTCAAAGTATAAAGTCGTCTTGTCTCATAGTCCAGTGGCTAAAAATGAAAATTGTGATAAATTTTATTAAATTGGATTTACATATTGGCAAATGTCGACGTATGTACATAATGGAAACTGAAGAGGGCTCAAGCCTTATTAGATCCTGCCCCTGCATTGTGGGAACACCAACACAGTTAATATTTTCCCCACCACAGGAGTCACTTTGTCTAATAAGAAATAACATTGTTTTCAGAATAAGTAACTTTTCCTGTATATTAGTTAAATTATCTCAGCATGAATGACAACAAGATTTTCAGTAGAAATTAACCAATTATTCAGGGAATTCTGCAGCTGTTTCACAAGAATATGGATTTGAAACAATCATATACCTGTGTAAAACACATGAGATACTGACTGGAAATACAAACATTCCAGAATAAGATATTTAACACTAATTTTTCATAGGAAATTCTGTAAACGCTTAGATAATCAAAATGACCAGAGTATTCTTATTGTCAAGCCCATATAGCAGGCCTTAAATATCAGGAATACTTTAGGTGTCTTTTGAGGAAGGTGTATGTGTCAATGCTCTCTATATTTAGAGAAACAGTGGGGTTTAATCTTGTTCCTTTTCATTTAATTTAATGAATCCGACATCAGAGGGTTTTTTTTTTAAATATATTTGACATTTTTGTCAGCAGTTCCTTTTTAAAATGGGAGGAGGAGCAGTTCACAGTTATAATTAGAAATCATTTTGGAGAGAAAATAATTCTATTCCTTCAAATTTTTCTAGCTGTCATAGATGAAAAGTGTTAGCTAATTAATGATTCTAAGGAAATGAGCAAGCTGAAAATCTACCTTTCTGACACAAAGAAGACTTTATTAACTCCCACAGATTCTCAGAGAGATATAGAACTGGTGGTTTTCATTCATCAAAATGGGTGGTTGATGGCTTATTTTTTTCTGCCTAGCTGCTTTTAAATACTAATTAATGTTCACTAAAGATGCCAAAGTGACAGGTTAGATATTTAAATACACTATTCAAAAGCAGAAAGATACAGTCCAGCAAAAGAATGAGTTTCCCCACTGCCCCAGACTTGTTTTAAAAAAGTAGTCAGAGCAGATGGGAGAGTATCTATGAATACAAATGAGAAAAGCAACTATTTAACCTAGATCTGAGGCTATTGCTGTGTCTGTAAAGTGTATCATTCAGCTGTTAAGGGACACTGGCTTCAATCCTAAAAGCAAAGAAGACATGGTTGTCCTGACTTATTCTAATTGGTTTGATCTGGCAGAATGTGCACCATGAATATATAAACTTGCTACTGTAACATTCACATCCAATTTGGGCATCTTTTCCACCTACAGTGCAAAAAACATGTTTATGAAACCTGTGGATTATACAGGCATTCCAGCACATCCACAGTAATGAAGAAAAGTCTTGCTCAAATATATGAAATTGTGGAAAATCAATCATTTTGTCTGTGAGAAATTGTATAGAAAAATTGTATAGAAAAAGTTATTTTACAAAACATAATAAATTTAGACTTAATAACTTGCAGGCTTTGTAAAGGAACACAAGCTATTTGTAGTTATTCACCACTGAAAACAGAAATTACAATCAAAGTGGGTAAATAACAACAAAAAAAGGGACTATTTTAATGAATCAATGAACTCAGCATTCTCATCTCCTTCCTTGCTTGTTAGTGCTGTTGTCTGTGGTATTGAATAAACTACTTATTCATGACTGAGAGAGCATCCTGAAAAATGCAAATTCTGTCAGACTGTTAATAACAGAATCAGAAGATCTTGTTCATTAGTATTTATTGATGTTTTTGGAACCGCTGTATTATAATTTAGGAAATTTCTTGAGCTTGATTCAGCTACTAGACTTGTTTTTCAAGATGCTATTGATTTAATATAATTGTGTGAAAATCTGAAGCAAGCAAGAAAAGAGCATCTCAAGAGAAGTCTTCACAAACTAGGAAAAGAAAAAATATAAGACCTCAAACTTTGGGATTTTTTCCCAGATAAAAAACTACACTGACTATGAACACAATAAAACACAGAAATTGAAAAGGAACAACACTCTTTGCAGAACTTCTCTCTTCCTTGGTTGCCATTATCAAGAGATGTGAAGGTATCTTTTGTATCACTGTTTATTTCATTATTCTATGCTTAAGGACATTTGTTTGGAAAGCTAATATAAACAGTGATTTATGTAAAAAATGGTGCCTGAACTCTTTGAAGTTCATCTCAAAGTCCCAAAGACAAGGACCAAGGGAATTCTGGAAGGGAAATTTTTGAGGAGTAGGAGAGTGGCATTTCTACGTGTGAGATCTTGGACTTAGAAGACAAGCATCTGAAAATGCTATGACAATGGAAGACAGAGGGCAGAACTGAAGCTAGCTCTGGACCAAGAACAACACCTTCATTACATACACACTGCTCATGTGGCAGCCCTCTCACACATTGGAAACGGAACAAAACCGTATCGTTTGCAACTCATGTCTGTGTTCTGGCAGACAGATCTCATTTCACCCAAGTAGATGAGAATCTCACAGAGAAGGAAAATCTGTGTCTCTGATTAGTGAGTGAGCTGCTGATTGCTTGCTGAAGAAAACAGGTTATAGAAATACATAAGAAGTCTGCATTTGAAATCACAGAGATAATTAGTGCTAACACATTGGGACTGGTCCACTTTTTCATGCTTTGCTTACAACAAGGCTTTTAACCTATGATGCATCTTAGATATGGTCACCACCTTTTATTTCCTGTTCATCTTAAAAGCAAATAGTACCTTTCAGTCACTGATGGGGATTGCTTGCAAATGTTAAGCAATTAGCATGTGTTATCACATAATGTAAGCAACGAATGCATGTGACATAACATTGACATCAAAATCATTTAGTGAATGCTGTTAATAGACACCTTTCGCACAGTGATGATGCCTTCCTGCGTGTCCTTCTGTGTCACAATATCAAACATATCAGTCCCATCACCATCTATGATTCTGTACTCTACTTCTGCATTTTTCCCAGTGTCCGCATCTGTAGCTTTAACACTGCCAATGGCTGTCCCAACTGGGGAGGACTCAGGAATGCGGAGATGGATGGTACCTGTCCAAGAGACAAAGAGCCATTCAGGACCCCCACAAGCCAGTACATGTGCATGAAGTAGCACTGTGTGACACAACAGCTGATAACATAATTTTGTGTATTCTTTTGTTCTAGAGAACTTGCCATTTAATACCGAGACAATGGACAAAATACAATGCAGAGAACTATCCAGAAGAAAGTTTTATATAGAAGACTGAAAACAAAATTGTAGAAAACACATTCATAGAAAACAGGGTTGAGAAAGACCTTTATTCTATCTGAGAGAAGAATCATCTGCACTCATCCTGCCTTTCTTTTCCTTTTAAGTTTCTTGTCCTTGTTTTTCTTTCATTCCTGAAATATCATCTGGAAAGACTGCTTAATGTGCTTGCCAGGTTTCACACTTCTTTTTTACCCCTTAATATCTAAGGGCAATCTTTGAGATATATATTATATGTATTTCATCATGGAAACAATAACAAGAATACAATTCCTTGATTTTGCTGGCCAATTCTGTGCAACAGGCTGACATTTCAGCTTTCAAAATTAGATAGTAAGATATCATATTAAATAAATTTGAATAACACATTAATGCAGGGGGAGGTGTTCTAGAAATCTACAAGCAGAAATTGTGCCTTGTTAAAGCAGTTAATTCAGACTTAAATAGGCTTATGAATATTACAATTCTTAGGTTGTGCTACTTTTCTTATCTCAGTTATATCCCTTTATGGTAGTGTCATACAGCTGATAAAATACATAGGAATAAAACTGTCATCATTCAGACATCCTGCAGTAAATTGAAATAAGTATCTTACCATATATTTTAGCATCCTATGTCCTAGCCTTAGTGTGAAAACTGTAAATAAGCATTGAGATATTTGATCCCATCTGTTGGAACATACGCTAGAAAAACACGGGGGGGACATAATGCGCTATGAAGAATTCTCAGAAAAAGTATTTTAAAATTAATGCATCTACAGTTGTCATTCCAAAGATGAAAGTGAATTCATCAAATCTCTCTTGGAAAACATTTTCTTCTATGGCCTTTGTTAAGTTTTTCAAGATTTTCTGTTCTACTGAGAGACTACCTAAGTTAAAGGAGTTAGAGGTATGCTTGAAATAACACAAAAATGGAAATGGTAAAGGGCAGCAACCACAACAGTAAAAAGCTGAACAGGCTGCACAAAAAGTGCAACACATAAATACATTCCCCAAACAAGTAGTACAGAAAAGTCCATTAAGGGCATATTAGTTTTGTGCAATCAAGAAGAATCATGGGGAGAGATTGGCATGGCTGTATGGGAAGGTCACTGGCAATGTGATTTTATCATAACTCAGGAAAGCATGAGTCATTTGAGGATTATTGGTGTATTATAAGCCAGCTACAGAGTGACACTTCCTACAAAAAACCCTATTATTTTTTGGGGCATTAGAGATTTTTTCTGCTTCTACGGAGTTATTTTTTTCTGTTCTATTATGTTATTATGTTCCCACTTGAGAAACCTAAAAAAGCAAAAAATGCAATAATTGAAAAAAAACCATTCACATTTAGTTTGCAATTAAACACTGAATGAAAAATATTGAAATATTTAAATTTAATTTCTTAATATACTTCAGCATATTTTATTATGAAATGGACATATAGCAGCAGAATGAATTCTTTATGGCCATGTACACCCACATTCTATTCATATACGTTTATTTTTGTTCAGTCACATTTTGATGTTCAATTGAGCATTTTATCCTGCCTTTTCTCTAATATTTCCATTACCTTTCTCTAATATCTAAACCCGTGTACTTCGCTAGTAGAGAATCACTCTGTAATCACCTAATTAAAAAAAAGCAAAAGAGAAATTATCCCCAGTTTAGTACTTAAGCAGCACTATAGGAGACTATGGTGAAAGACTTTTTTTTATCCCCAATTAATATGTTATATTTTTATGAGGTGTCAACTACTCACCACTTTTTTTTTTCCTCAGCACTCAAAACTATACCCCTATGCCTTGTGGACACTACTTTGTCTCCCAGTTCAATACCCAAGTCATTATTTAGTCTATAAAGTGGTAAGAGCTCATATAATGAATTGCTAATAAGGTAGTGAAAACAGAGAGGGAAAATAACCAGAAACTTATAATCTAAAAGGTAATTTTTAATCTAGCCTATCCGTTTCTAGAAATCTCCACCACAATATGAGACACTTAATTTTATTCCTTTTGTCACTGAATACATTTAACGCATTGACTAAGTATGGGATGCAGTGCAGCTTTGGACACTGTATCAGAATACAAAGTACACCAAAGTAGATTCATCCTTGCAAAACTCCGCTGTCAATCTTATTTTCCTTTTCTCAAGAAAAGTAGTTTACTCTTTGCATTTACTCCAGTGAATGATGTCCTTTCATTTGTCTGTCAGGAAAAGAAATGGGAGGATCAAGGAAAGGAATACTTTTCCATATACTAAGGAGAGCAGAAATCAGCTTGAGGATTAAAGTCTACACACTTGGGATTGCAAATACTTCAGTCAGTCATAAAGAATGAAAAACCAATCTCATTTTTCCATTTACCCTTCTTCCATTCACTCTTGAATAGGCATATAATGTAAGGGCAAATATTATAAAGTACTACAGGCTATAGTCCCACAGGATACATGGGCTGCCATAATTCAGGTCCACTGAGATTCATTCAGACTCAGGCTTCTAAGTCCATAAATCACATTTTCGTTTATCACTGATCAACAGTATCTCCTTTCTTTGGGAACACTTGGAAATATTATAGTTGAAACAAAGATCCAATGTATGAGGTCTTTGAAGACCTCACCTTGAAAAAGTTTTCATCACCACTGTTATCTATGTGGGCTTTAGTATATTTTTAAGAAGAGAAAAATATTCTGAAGAATCCTTGCTTCAATATGTAAACAACAGGATAATTAGAAGTTCTTCTATATGTATTTTTTTTAATGTATGATACAATACATTATGTTAATTTCTCCACAATTTTAATATGAGTTTCTTATGGGTGACATATAAGCTGATATGAAACATTTTATTGAAACATATAGCTGTAATATGCTGAGTCCTGTGGGAACATAATGGGCATTCTAATATTTAGCCTCATAATTTATAAATCAGATATGAATATTATTGTTTCATTAACCTAATACATCTGATTTTTTATTATTGGAATAGAATAAAGATAATTTAACTTAATCAATTTCAATTCCAGCAGTCTCATTGAACTATGTTAAAATCATGAATTATTATAATGTCTATTTCCATTTTGAGGTTAAATATATGTTTTTTTTAAAGTCAATAGCTATTTTTACTTTCATATATCTAGTCAAATATGTCATCTTTATAAATGTTTTAGTTTCCATCTCCAATGAAACATGCATTTATATCTAACAAAGAAATTGGCAGATAGAAAATAGAGAGAAAAATCAAACAACAACAACAAAAGCCCATGAGAGCAAAATTAAGTTTCTTTAAAGCAAATGACACATCTGATTTAAACTGACATTAAAGAAAAATACAGAGATGCTACATCAAATCCTTCTCTATATCAAATATTATGTTGGAATCCCAGAAAAGTCATGTTAAAATAGTCTAGAAAGTTGATTCCATCATTCTAACTTCTAATTTAACATGCTGTTTAAGAAACAAGAAAAAAGAGAAAAAGAAAAGTATAAATATGCACTTTTAAAGCTTCTGTGCTGTCTTAAGTCTAACTGTTTGGGTTTTTTTTTTTCCTGTAAGGCTTTGAACCTGACACCTCTTTGAATCGTCTTCTTCAGTGTGTCCAGAGAGGAGTAATACAGCATTCCTGTCCTACACAATAATGGAAATACCACAATCTTCTATATAAAAATGGAAACAACAAAAATAATAAATTAAAAAATTGTGGAAAAATGAAAAAAAAATATAAATTAACAATAAATTCCGTTCAGAATACGACCTTTGTAGAAACGCACAAATTCTACTTACTCAATGATGTATGACTTTTTTTATTTCAAGTGTGTGTATGAAATTACATGCTAATAAACATCTTAGCTGAACGCATATATATTAACTTCAATATTAAATTGAGCATAATTAGGTACTCCAGTTCTGCCATAAAGAGCATAATTTGAAGCTAATTCTGTTATTTTGATCAAGAAGAGTGCATCAGTGACTACTGGATTGAGTAGAATTATACAGAGTCTATAAAATGTGTGGTGAGGATACTCTAAATCCTTTATGTATTAAGTAAATCCAAATCATTGTGCAAATATTGCAACTTCAATTTATGCAAAAGGCTGCAAATGTATTTAAAATGCTTAACTGTTACAAGTTCAATGCTTCATAGTTTGATATTTCCATATCAGATACAGACCAAGAATATTTTTATATTTTGCTTTGAGGATACAAAGTCTTGACAGCAGTATTATCAAAAGGCAAAATGCATTACAAAAACCTTCACTAAAGCTGTAAAAAACCCTAAAAAAGTTAAACGTAATTTGCTTTAATTTGGGAAAATTTTTATGTTGTTTTGTAGTTCTGTAGCTGGAAAAGTACAAATCTGTCTGATTCCCTTTGAGTAATTTCTTTTCCACATTCTTCATGATTAAATATTTAAGCAGATACCTCAATTCAAACATTTCTGAGTATCTAGAATTACAACATGTTTTATTCTCCAGTGGGAGAGCATGCAGGATTTAAGCAATAGGTAAGAGAAGCAAAAACATTGCTCTAATGCTCTTACGAGTCCACCTACTATTTGCTCCCCATATTCCTGGGAGGAATTCCTGGTTTACTGCAGTTACATTTCATCATGTAACTGTTTCCTAACAAAAAATAAAATGCTTTAACATTTAATATACTGCTTTAATAATAATAATCAGCACATAAGCCTTTTGTTTATGTGTCCCCCATAATCTAGATTTACTCTAAATTAAACCAGATGGTGATTGCTTAACTCTTACTGCACAAGTCAACTATTAAATGCAGCTTACTCTGGGGGAAGCGAGGTGGATTGTCGTTGACATCAGTCAGTGTGATGTTCACGGTGGTGGTCCCTGATAATCCACCCATCTGGCCTCCCATGTCCTTTGCCTGAATAACTACTTGGTATTGCTCCCTGTTTTCTCTGTTCATGTTCGGCAACGCAGTCCTGATGACTCCTAAAAGAAATAAATTGGAAAACAGAATCGCTAATAATGTATTTGTTGCTTATCTGCAGCAATCTGCCGCATCTTTTTTTATATTAGTCTTTAAATAAATCTCTAAAATATTCACTTAATATTTCAAAGTACAAATTTCTGTCCATAAGTTTTATTGTAGTCTTATAGTAGTCTTTGTTACAGGCTATGTCTTGGTAGCGTACTTGTTTTACAACACAGGTACTTTTCCAGTTTCATGCTAAAAATGCTTCAAGATACTTGTGCCAAAGGTTTAGGATAAAGAACACCTTTTATTAATCTAAGTAGAATCATTACAGAAAAAACCCCAATATTTTCTAAGGAAAAAATCTTTATTCCTGCCTTTATCAGAAATGTTGCTATTTAAATCTTAAGCAATAAATAGTCCCACTGTGAAATTACTTATACTTCATAATTTCAAATGTCTTGAGTTTTTATATGTATTATAAAAGTTATGAATCATGAGAAAAAGCAAGAAATGCTCCTTCATTTCAGTTAGTTTTTAATTACATTTTTATGTGATCTAAAGTCTTTTAAATGAAAGAAAAAGTTTAAAGTTTAGGGTAAATGAAAAAAAATTAAATTTTTCATTACCTGTTTCTGGTTCCACAGAGAAATATGGCTGCCCTTGAAGTATGCTGTAAATTATTCTGGCACTATTTCCATATGAAGGGTCATCGGCATCAGTAGCTGTAACTTGGACCACAGAAGTACCTGAAACATCCAAAGCCAACTTAGTTGCATGTGACACTATATGGAAATGTCAGAGCATTAATTTCCATTCCAACAGACACCAAAGAAAATTTAAGCTAATACTGATTGGATTTTCCGAATTTATTTTTGATCTTCTAGTCAACATTAGGTACATTCTTCCTTATTCCAGGTCTCCTTCTGCATAAATTGAAAAGAAACTTCCTTAATCCCACAAGTGTGATTAAGTTTTAATAAGAAAATGTAAACAATGTCTGAGCTGAATTCTTATCCTTACCTAGCAACAGTAATTTCATGTATTCACATCCTCTTTGCAGAAGATGTTGTTTTTAGTGGAATAAATACCTTCATTCCATTGCCTAGAATGGGTTTGGGGTGTTTTGTTGTTTGTTTTATTTTTATTTTGTTCAATAATGTCAGGATGATATGAAACTACACATGCAGGAACATGACAGAAAAAGATGATTAAACTGGTAACAGGAACTTCTGAAAAACAAGTCATCAGATCTCCCTGCTTTCTAAGTGTTACTATAGATATATATTACCAGAAGAAACACTGTCATATGAACTTTGAAATCTGCTACTTATTTAGATTACAGAAAATTTCCTAACCTTAAAAGACATTCTCTAAATTTTAGGAGAATATACCAATGATTTAAAACATGAAATGTTTGCCATTACCACTGACAGTTTTTCCACAATCAAAACACTTTCTACATCTTGTTCAACTTTTCCAACACAGAAACAAAGTATGAACAAAGATCCCCCTATTGTTCATCCATAAAGTGCAGACACTATTTTAACTATATAGGAAAAAATAAAAAAAAAAAAAAAAAGGGGGGGGGGTATTTGTGTTTTGTATATAGGAAAAAATTAAAAAAAAAAAAAAAAGGAAAAACAATCATCACAAGCACATGACTGGCCAGCCACGGGCTAATCTGAGGATCAGGAGACTTCAAAACTTGTTTCTCCTTTTATCCTAATTCTTTCAAAATTCTTTTCCCTACCAAATATGAAAAAAGGCACCTGTAAATCCAGGACACTTGGCACAATATTTACTCCCTTGCATTATCTGCATTGTCTGTCTATATTACATAGTTATTCTAACATACATAGAAAAACAAGTAAAAGTAAATGCTGTTTCTCCATTTATTTGGGATTTTAGGTCAGGAAAACAAACCCGCTTTTTACAAGTACATTGTTCAATCATAGCACCAATATCAAGGGAATGAGCATGTGCCTAACTGTTGAAACAGAGATGAGTTCTCTGAAATGTTCAGTTTTCAACTGCTAGAGAATTTAAATACTTATTTCAATGAGTCCCTAAAAGTACTGGCTTCTCATTAAGAAGGCAAAATGGGCATATTCCTGGTTATATTATTCCTGTTAAAATGGTGTGAATCATGAATTGGAAAGAATCATGAACAGACAAAAGACTCAAACATAAAATAAAATTTAAAAGATAAAAATTGCTATACAAGTATAAAGAAATTAAGAGAAAATAACTTTCTGTTGTATTAAAGATTGTTTTGGTAACCATCTAGAATATGGCTGAATCTGAAAATCTGAACTTTTTTTTCAAAAATAAGAATGTGGGGATGATAGGTCTGTTCTAAAAGCTTTGTCTCTATCATTCACGAATGTCTCATGTCTTCAGCCACGCTGAACTCCATGTGTAGATATATGTCTATATAACTATTCTGCTAAAAGGTGAATAGGTCTTTCTGTTTAATATATTTAAGTTCTGAACAGTGTTGTCGTGATTCTGAAATGCGCTTTCAGACCATCCTACTACTATAGAGAAACTGCAGTGCTAGAATGTGTACTTGTTCCTAAAGAATACCTTATCTGAAGTAGCAGTTGTGTAAAAGAAGGACAAGACAAATCATGTTCAATAACTGAAGTGCTGCAAGTTAAAAAAAAGGCAAAAAACCCCCAAGCCACTGAGTACACTGACCAACATGGAATTGTGCAAGTAAAGTTTGCAACTCCTCCATTTCATATCCATAACAACAGAGAACAGTCATAATCAAGACATCTGCCACAAGAGCCTGATATGTTAGTCAGAAACTTCTACATTGTAAATACATGAAAATACTTTGTCTGTATTACATGTAACTGAATAATTTCTTTTTTATAGTTTTCACATTTCCTTCTTTTGTAAAACTAGACATATCTATAAATAGGTCAATTGTTTGAGACTTCCATTTTAGTTTAAAAATACAAGGAAAATCAATTTTGAAGAATAATTTGGAAGGAAACTGAAGTAAATGTTTAATAAATTTAAAATATATTTTAATAAGATGTGTCTAACAGTTACTATTTTCTTATTTGGGTGTCATAATGAATATATTAATTAATACTCTCAGTGCATATGCACATGGAACAGAGCAAATTATATCATCTATGCTTCTCTCCAGCTGGAACGAACATCGCTGCATACATACACCCCTCAAAAAAACTCTGAAACTTCTGAAAAAACCCCAGAAACTTCTGAAAAGTGTAGATTTGTACTTATTCCCTTTAAAGTCTGTGAAAAGAGACTTTTGCTCCTTAATTTCATCACTATCACACTGTGCAATTGGTGGGTTATGATCAGGACAATGTACACTCTATTACCCAAATGCAGTAAGGCTGAACTTTACTTTTTAATGTTACCTCAGCTCTTTGGCTTTTATGGGTCAGGTACCTGGGAGGAGAAGTGCAAGGGCACTACTACACTTCCAACTGCTATTCAGGATGCAGAACTGCCCTTTGATCTCAGCCCTTGCTATAAGAGGAAAATAGATGTGCTCCCTAGGTTTCCACAGGGGGATCAGCAATTCCTTTAAAAACCTGACAGAAGCCACATCCAGGAGTGAACAGGAGTAGTGCTATCAGTGTATCAATTACATTCTGCACATCAGCTGTCAAAGCACCAGCTGGTTTTTCTTTGCTTCAGTACACTGAAGACCACTGATGCTCAATAAAACAAATGAATTGTTTGTTTTGGTTTGAAACCTGGACCAGAAATCCAAAGGCATTGAAGATGATCAGTTATGCCAGGGCTTAAAAACTACAGTGTAGGGATCACTTAATGATCATCACTTGGTTTAGATCTTGCTCTGTCTTTTACATAGCCACAGGTTGCTTCTGATGAAGCTGGTCTTTGACCTTCAGAATTTAAAGCCTAAACCGAACTCTGCATCAGTGCATAAAGGGGGCAGTGATTACATACAGGAGAGAGGGAGATGAACACGTTACAAGGGCATGTAATAGGACAAGGGGGAAGTGCTTCAAACTGAAAGAGACTAGGTTTAGATTAGATATAAAGAACAAATTTACTGTGAGGGTGGTGAGGCATTGGAACAGCTTTCCCAGAGAAACTTTAACTGTCCCATCTTTGGCAGCGTTCAAGGCCTGGATGGATGGGGTTCTGAGCAATGAGGTCAGTAGGTGACATCCCTACCATGGCAGGGGTGTTGGAACTGGAAGACTTTTAAGGTCCTTTCCAACGGTAGCCATACTATGAATCTATGAATAAGGCACCATCTATGTTATTAGTAACACACCAGTGAATTCTGTTATTTTCTGCTTGCATAATTGCCTATTTTACATACCATGAACTAGAATTCAACAGTGGTAAACTTGGCCCAGAAACAAACAGTCTTTTGTCAGATTATTGTAGTTCTCAGAAGGCATATTTTAACATAACTTTAATTATGGTGTTTAACTGTGTTTAACTTTCCCTAGAGTCTAGGACTATAACAGTAATTAATATATTTGGCCCTTGATGCTGTTTTCTGCAAGCATCTTCAAGCACAATACAAGTATTAATGACTTTGACCTCACAATTCATTTATGATGCATACATATTAGATCAAAACCACTGGAAATAATTATCTAGGAAAAGGAATCCACAAAATATCCACTGCAGAGCTGGATTCTAAACTTAGGTTTTATTTTCTTTACTCCCAGCTGAGTTATGTGATACTTAACTAGAGCAAGTACCCTCTACAGTAAATTATCCATACAAATAACAAGCCAAATTAATAGAAATTTTCTGCTCTTTTTAGTGGAAAAGACAGGAAATAATGGCACCTATTTTCCCCAGAAATAATGGCACATGTTTTCCTCTGAAATAATCTATTTCAAGCTGCAAAATACAGAAAAGAGCTGAAAAGGGCTGTGCGTTAAGAGACCTCAATGTCAGAAAGATCTTGGACTATAAGATAGTCCTGTAACTTAGAAAACAATAAGTTGCAAACAAACACAGGAGTGGATAATGTCAATTATTTTAAGATGTCCTTTTTAAGGAAAAATAATGTTTTAGCTTGGTGGGTTTTTGTTTTGTTTTTGGGGTTTTTTTAAACTTTTTGATTCATCTCCTAATGGCAGGATTTGTGTGCAGAGTGAAATAAAACTCTGTAAAAAAAAAAAAAAATCCTCATTTGGGTTTTTGAAATGTCCTAAGTCAGAAGATGCAAAAGGGTTTGTTGAGAGAACTTTATATGAAAAAAGATTTTGAAATATCTTTGTTAGTAGGAAACCAGAAGGAAGTGTTGTAAGATGAATCCCATAGAAGAGAGGATAAGCATTGGGAACTGGTGAATAGCACTAATGAGCCAGTATAGAAGAAGACAAGGTAAAAAGTTAAGCAGCTCTTACTGCTGTCTAAAGAGAAAGAAAAAATATATAACAAGAGGTAGATATGACAGACCAACAGGGCACCCTGTACATCACATCTAAAGGCAAAAGGAGGTTACGTCTTCTGAATCATATATTGATATCCCTAATTTAGAAGCAGAAAAGTTACAAGATGCAATAAGGATAAGGAATGATTATAGAATATATAGGCTGTGAAGATACATAAATATATAAAAAGAGATCCAAATAGAAAGTTCTGAAAACTTTTCTAAAATACACTAATAGGCAAAATCCACAGGAAAATCCATCTAGAGGAAAATAGACTATTTGCAGTTCTGAAAAGAAATCTCCAAATGAGCAGAAAGAGATAGGTAAAAAATATGATGGACAGAGCAGAAGACTGTTATAAAAATCGTAAGAATATTCTGGGTCACAAACTCTGAAAGTAAGGAAAGGAAAAAGTGAAAGAAGATGAAAATCCAGTAATCAGTACAAAGACTTCAGGAGAATAAGTTGTCTTCTCCTATATTGACCCAGCTGCGAGATCCTGAAGTTGGCCCATTTATGTCTGCCTTTTCAATGTTTAATAAGCAACAAAAGAAAGATGAACAAGACAACAAAGAATTTATGGGCCTTTGTCAAGACACTCTATTTGATAACAGAAATAGCCATATCCTCCGGTGTCTGTCTGGTTAGTACCACAGCCGGAGGAAGAAAAAACTGCTGTTGTGGTCTGAAAGAGGCTGGTGTATGGCTACATCATGACTTGATAAGGTTTATGGATGGAGGCATATGGAGTAGATAAAGACTAAATAGTGTTTTTTCTGACATCCTGATCACGATATTGTTCCTTCTAGTACAGGGAACTTCAGGATGGAGCAAACCCTGTACTCCAAGGGTGCACAGATTTCAATCACTTCAAGTTTTTGGCATATAAGCATTTCATTCTTTTCTTTGTATGATGTGATACCATGTTTGTCTTCTTTCTGGTATCCAGATAAGTGCATACAAGGTTCATATGAACACCTCGCCATTGTAGCTGCAGTACAGATGTGTAGAAGTAGACAACACAGTGGAAAAACTGCAGAATAATTCACTTTTGGGGTTTTTTTGACTTCTTAAAGTAGAGATAAGATTAAGCCCATTTGAAACATTGATATTCAGCACCAGGACAGAGAATCCAGTCACCAGATGACGGCCAAGGTTTTGAGAACACAGTCACAGCATAACATAAATACAAGGCACAGGTACAAGTTGTAAGTTAGTAGTCATATTGAAGACTGATATGGATTTAAAGTATAACAAACAAAAAAAAAGACTAAGTATTTACTATCTGTTAAACATCACTTGTGTGGTGAAAATACATATAAAAGATTATGATAACTTCCACAGGAACTAGAAACAATGAACAAAGAGAATTATTCCAGTGTTGTTGCAGTGTTGCATCCATCAGATGTGATGCCTCCAATAAGAGGCATCACATCTGATCTCTATCTGCACTATGTGCACAAGGTCTTCTTTCACCTTTGATAATGAAAGTGGCATGTATTTTAATTTTCTTTTCACCCCATTTTCCTATTGCCACTCACCAATCCTACTTTTATATATAAAGATCTTTCTCAGTGCAGTTGGTTTGAATAAACTGATATTTTAAAAAACACTGTTTGGGTATGTTTATGTGTCTGTCTAGTGGTCCAGCTTTCACACCTGATTGATAGTCAATCATTGAACTTGGATGTACCAATAGTAGCAGGAGTGCAAGTCATTCTCTAAAAATATCGATGTATTTTTGGTGGAAAATTCTACCATGGAATCATATCATATACTGGGTTGGAAAGGACCCATAAGGGTCATCAAGTCCAACTTCCTTCTTCTCACCTGAACCATATGACTAAAAGAAGCATTCAAGACACTCTGACACTTTCCTGGGGAGCCTGCTCCAGTGACTGACCAATCTCTTGATGAAGAACCTTTTCCTAATGTCTAATTAGATCTTCCCTTGACACAGTTCCACTCCATTTTCTTGTGTCCTATTGCAAATCAGCAGAGAGGGGAGATCAGCACCTCCCCTGCAAGGGCACCTGTGACAGCAAGGTAGTCATGGAATAGATGCACCTGCAGGACTGGGCAGGAACTTGTCACCGTTCTCCCCGATCCCTGAAGTCACGGCATTCAGCGAAGTGGAACAGAGTGACGATAGGGAATCCTTCACGTGGTGTTCTGTCTGCTTGGCAGGTCTGACCCAGGAAAGGCAGGGTGTGGTTCCAGCAATACCTCTCTTTCTCAGACTACCAATATATAGCATAGTGCCGCACCATGCTGACTATCCTGGGTTAGACAATTAAAATATTACAGTCCTGATAGTACCACACCTTTTATAGAAACATATAACTCATCTCTATTCAGATAAGGGCCATAGTAATTTAGCTTTGTAATTTCTCTTTCTGGTACCATCACTGTGAAAATATTAGTATCATAAGCTCCTCTTAATGTTTGCAGACATTTATAGAAAAATTTACTATTTCTACTTTCTCACAGAAGTGACTACTACAGGGGACACTCAACAGACTGTGTAATTACATCCAAGACTGCAATTTCTATCTGCATTCCTTACATCAAGCCTGACAATTTCTTAGCCCATGGCCAACAGTACTGGGCAAGTAATGGGCTGCTCACAATACTATAACCAAAAAAAATAATCCAGAGAGGGAAAAATAGAGAAATGTAGGAATTTCTTCCTATTTTCCTTTGAATGGGGAAGGGAAATTGTAATAAACAATGTAATTGTTCCTTTTTTCATAAATTTCTCATATAAGTTGCTGTACTAAAAATTCTTGAATTGTATGATGCCAGAAAAAACCACTAATTTAAAAATATTCTGTAGTAATGATGTGATAATATATTATTGGTGTACCAAAATGTGAAGAATTTTAACATAATGACTTCACAATTTCTGATTAATTCCATATTTTCTCAAAAGTGTTATGCATCTTATTCTTTTAGATTTCTCACCTTCTTCACTTAGCCTTTAGTTTTCAGATTACTGAGTAGATTTTTTTAAGTTGGAGAATTAAATTAGCATTATGAAGAAATGAATCAGCTTTGATGAATACTTTATAAAATCACGTCATTCTCTCATGGACCACAGATGAATATAAACCTCTAGGGAGAAGACATAAAACTAAAAGGAATAAAGCTAGAAGAAATGCTACCTGTCAGATAGACAGTCACTCTAGCAGCTGAATGACTGCATTTTTAAAATCCAGGAACATGATGGATTTGAACTGAGTTATAATTCTCCTAATTATTATAATTTTATTGTCAAAATGAAGTCCATTTGTTTCAGCACAGCTATTTATGTAAGATACAAGGTTAACACACTAAGTAGGCCCAAGTTGATGTTTTTGTTGCTCCTTGTTTTTCTAAAAATTATTGTTTTCTAATTTTTTTATCATGTTATCTCATTTTTTGTTGTTTTAATGCTGACATTTTGCAGTTTCAAAATTTTATGATCTATGTGCAGCTGTACAGATACACTGGAACCTTGCAATCTGAATACTTCAGAACCATTGAAATAATGCCATGAATGTTTGAGAATACTTAAAGAAAAAAAGTTATTTATGGAATTGAGACTGATGAAATGAAGAAACAATAGCTTATAACTTATTATATAATATCATAATATTTAATGAAAACACTAAGTAATTTTCTTGTATTTTTCCAATCATGTTTTAAACAATGCATTTTGGAATTTACAGAAAGAATATGAGAAATAAAGTTGAAACTCTTAGACATACTTTTTCAGCCCTCCTGTAATCTTGCCAAATGCTTCTCTAGAAAAAGCTCCAGAAATGTTCTTTCAGGATGCACTTTCAGGGTGTTCTGCCTAAAGCTGTATATGTTTATGGAAATTTAGAAAACTGACCAGTATATTAGTAAACTGGTAGTACATTTTGTTAGATTTTGGAACAGTAAAGGTGGAAGACTTTTCAGTTCTCTTTATGTGGGCTGATTTGATGAGATTTCAGTACAGGCCTACACAATCATCTGTCAGATTTCATTGTCTTTCTTTTTAAAATTTATTTTCCTTTACAATAAAAACCACTTGCTGAATGCTGGAATTTTAAAAACTGATTCAATCATAAACTGAAAACAGATTGAAATATTGAGAACAAAAGGTATTAGTATTATGCTTCCATACATTGCTGCACAGATTTGCTGAGGCCATTCTCTTTCAATAATTGTTTTTTTTTTCTCTTTTAGCATTTCCAGGGTCCTGGAAATTAAATACTAAATCATCCATACCTGTATATATAAAATGTCTTAAAAACTTATCATCTCAACAGGCTAATTTAGTAATCTAAAATACCTGTTTGACCTATTCAGGCAGTAGAAGTGATTAAAATGGTAAGAGTAGCCTAAAATTATATTGAATGCATTGTTTGTTTTCTGATTCTTTAAAATTTAATATTAAAGTAGCTACACTTATACAATTAATTAATTAATATTAATTTTGAAAAGAAACATAATACTTTTTAATTTTTTAAAAATTGTTCTTAATGAATTGTATGCGCTAATATCAATAACAGCTCATATTCCAAAATGTTACTGGTTATAAAATTCACCAGCTGGCATGATCCAGGCCACAACTTTGTAGTTAAGATAGGAACTGAAAATACATTGCAAAGAGAAGAAAGATAACTCAAACAGCTGTTTAACATTCATGAAGGTGTCACTTTTGGATGGAGTTAAGGGAGGAAGTGAAAGCACGAGAGGATTTGTCTATACAGTAAAAAAGTGAAAGAAAAGAAAAAAAGAGGGAGAATATCTTCAGACAGTGCATCAACATGCATGAGTCAATATATAATTCTCCTCACCCACAGAGGGAGTGGAGACAGCTCTCCATTCAGTGTTTATCACCACTGGGAACTTCCAGTGAAAATGAAAGAAAAAAAATATTGAGCTTTCAACAGGCTAATTTAGTCACCTTATTCTAACATTTCCTAAGGAGGAGGATGATTCACCATTGCCTACTAACTATAATATTTATATTCCAAAGAACTGTAAAGCTAATAATTTGGACATTCCAAGTAGAAACAGATCTTAGATCATTAAAATCTGGTTCTGAATGCCATTTCATTATTTGAACAAATATGTCAAAATGAAAAATACTTAACTCATCAGGTAGAATTCTGCACATGACTGACTTTCGAAAAGATGGGAAAATAATCTGTCAAGTAATGAAGAAAAGGCATTTGTGCCTCAGTACAGAGAACTCACCTACTACTGACATTTCAGGAACACTAGCAGTGTAAACTTCTTCTGGAAATGTTGGTTCATTGTCGTTGATGTCATGGATCTTGATGACAAACTCAGACTCAGGTTCCACTGGTCTCAAAGTTCTTCTATTGATAGCTTGGGCACGCAGGGTGTAAAATGCTTTCTCTTCCCTGTCAATTCTCCGAGTTGCATGAATATCTCCTGTTTTCTCATCAATTATAAAAAGAGTACCAGCCCCATCTCCTGACAAAATGTATTTTAGGGATCCATCTCCCTTATCCTGGTCAGAATGAAGCTGAAATGGAAGAAAACAGTATTTTGTTTAGAAGCAATGAAAAGAATCGTTGTTTTTAAATATACTTATTATATTTTAAGTTATTCTGTATGCAACATATGTGATTGATACCATTAAGAAAGCAATTTTTATTCACCACTGACTGACAGCCAGTTTCCTAACTTAGCTCCAAGAATCTTTCGACTTGGCTGTTCTGGAAGATTTTGCTTTTGCAGCAACACCTGTTCTCTGCTAAGAAACCTCTGCACCACATTCTTAAAGAAGATTTTTATGTTAATACTGACCTTTTCTTTTATTGAAGAGATCCTATTAAAAATTCACAACTGCTGTGCTAGTTGTAAATTCACCAAGCAGATAAAGAACATGGCTAAATACAAGACAATTAAGGAAAATAGAAACACTGGTTTCATGAAATAATATTTTAAAAAAAAAAAAAAATTTCTATTATTTATACTTCTCCCAAACTGGGGAACGTTTCATTTCAAGTCACTATCGCTTGCACTCCATCAACTAATGCAAATAGACTAAAGGAAAACCACCCACATTTATTAAGCATTCAGTATTATTTAAGTTGTATAAAGCTTAACCTCACATATATATAACTTGCAGTCCTGACTGCCTTTACATGAAAAATTATTCAATTATGCTTTGCTGTTCAGCACAGTAATGTGGATGATGGCTTATTTGATCTTTTGGATACATTTAGGATAACTTCTCTAAACACCTTGTTGGAAAAGTCCTTCCAATCTCATTGATTCCATAATTAACTGAAAGAATCTGGCATTCATATTTATTTTCACCATGAAATATATTCTTTTTAGTACACTTAGTTTTGAGTTCAGCAGAATGATCAAATAAAGTAGAAGCTCTTATTACAAAACTGAAGTGCAAATACATTTTTTAAATCACACTCAAGAAATATCAGAATATTCCAGTTAAAGAACTGGTGCATTTTTTTTTCCTTCTAAAATAGTTATTTGTACATGTAATAACAGCATCAATTAGATCCACAGGAAGATTATATTTAGTCATGTGAAGAGTTTTTGTTAATTTAAGCCCCTATTTCAGGTAATGAAAAATGTTATACATGTAGCATAGTATAAACACCCCCCTTGCTGTGCAGCCATGAAAATATTCCTCTTTTTCATCTATGATGCCCTTTTATTATCTTTCATAGCATGTTTCAAGTAATAGAAATAAAAATATTTAACTATTCTGGTTTTGAATTTGTCATTTGTCTTTTCCTGTCTTTTGTGCTGAAACCAAACATACAGAGTGGAATGGTGGGATAAACCAAAGCCAAACAGTAGACTTCTATGTTGTGAAAAATTTTCAAACACTGACTATTTCCCACAGACTTGATGTTGTGAAAAAATTTCAAACACTGAATATTTCCCACAGACTTGATATATGTGGAACAGACAAACTCACCAGGCATCTTGGATGAAAGCCTTCATGGTAGAAATTTGAATACTATCATGTTCTGAACTTTGATTTTCTACATGAAAGTATTTAGACCTATTAAACTTTGCTTACACTACACATGTGCATGTTTACTTTACAAAGTGAGTATTTTCTTACTGTTTCTTTTCATTCTACAACAAATACAAAAATATGAATCTCCACCAAACATAAAGAGTAGGAAGGTAGATGTTAAGAAAAATCCTTTGCAAATAATATTTTTCTTTCTTTGACTTTTGTTACTCTTGATGACTTCAAACTGAAGGTTGCAAGCCGTTCTCACACCTCTTTTGAGGAACGAATTTTTAAAGTGAACTTTAATTCCTCATGCTCCTCCCCTGATGGCCCACAGAAATGGTGACCTTTCATGCCTCCAACTAACCCTTTCACCCTTCTTTTTAAGGGACTCGACAGTATCTCCTAAGCTGTGTTCTATTTTAAAAGGTCACCTAGTGTAAGTAGTCCTTGAGTGTTTTCTTTTCCACGTCTTCCTAGAATATAATTTCACTTCAAAAACATTTTGGTCCTAGGAACTCAGTGCTGGTCCATGACCACTCTATGAAATATTTTCATAGCAGAATGATGAAGAGCATGGTAAGAGCCTGCTCCTCCTTAGACCTGTGACAGAAATATAAAATAAGGTCCTGTTTGAATAGTATCTTTAAATGAGCACATTGCACTTTTCCCAGATGCTTTCCAAACCCAGGTCTGGTATTATTAATTCTTGAAAAAGTTTACAATAGTGTATTGGTGCTGAAGTGCCTGTCCTTGGACTCAGAAACCAGTAAGCAGCCTGGCAAAATCCATTCTAACACAGTATCTCCAGAACAGAATAACTCCATGCAAACAGCTCCCAGCAAGAGCGTCTGGCCAAATTTAACATACAGATGATGCACAGAAATTATTTTGGAGAGTGATATTAGGAAAACCATGCCAGGAACTTGTAAAATAATTTATCAATCCTAATAATCATATTCTAGTGCCTTAAAATATTGCCTGGCACTTGAAGCCTGAACAGTGGGGTGAAGAAAACTAAATCAGAAAACTAAGAAAATCCCTGCACTAAAAAAATGAAGTTTTTGAACAAGTAAATTTAGATCCAATTTAGCATGTAAAGATCTTTTAACATAGTTATTTGTCTCATATGTAAGGTACTATCATTGTTGATCATTTTCCATTGCCTCTCCCATAGCTATGTGTAAATCCTAGTAAGGTGATTTGAAAATGGTTTTTATGCCCACAAAATTATTAACCTATTACCTTTGCCAAATCCAAACTTCCTACTTGTGTTGTTCTTTTTGTTTGTGTGGTTTGGGGATTTTTAGTTAGTTTGTTTGTTTTCCCCCACATATATTAGCCAAAAGTCTGGAAAAGGAGCTGAATATAGGACTTTGAGATATCCACATAAAGACCTGCAGGGAGCTGAGAATTGCACTTCACAGTAACATGATTAAAAGGAATACCAACGTACATAGTGAGACGAACACTTTAAGCTACAACAGGTTTTTCTCTAAAAAAAAATATTAATAATGCCTTTTGTTTGATAATCCAATTTAAATTACATGTATATACATAAGAGTCCAGATTTATGGTAGAAAAACTTCAAATTCAGAACAACCTTTCAGGTCTTTTTGGGTGATCAGGAAACACAAAGCTATAGATGAAATGAGCAAGTCTTCCAGACATAATTCAAGGGGTGAAAATGTGTAGTACAGATAAACAACAAAAAATAATACCTCCCATTTAGGTTTTTTTTTTTTTTTTTTAGTTTTTAATTCAATCTGGGTGTTACTAGAGGAATCAAGGAGACTAAAGACTGCCCAAGGTGCTTCACAGCTCTGTTCACAGCTCTGTACGGTGAATCATTACCCAACTCTGAAATGCATAAGCAGTTTGTCAATGAGTGCTGCAGAGTTTTTTTCATTTTATTCAAATACTAAAAAAATGTTCTGTAAAATATTTCCCTGCTACTTTTAGCATAAAGTGTTTCCTATAGTTATTTTAGCTAATGGGCATCTGTGATTCATGTCAGCCAAGCTGAGAAATGGAAAGACATCTGTTTCATTTAGCAATTTCATCGCACAAAATGATCAGCTGTGAAGATGTGGTTTTGTTTTCATATCTGTCACTGATATTTTGCAAACTCCTGAATTTCTTGCTGTTCTTCCACAGAAATACTTCCCTTTTCAGCTGCACTGGTATACCTATTTTATGCATAATTTTTCTCACTTCATAGGAAATCAGAATGTCAGTTGGTGTTATTTTATATAGCCCTGTTTCATCATACAGTAATTGCAATTACCATGGAAGACATTTTTGCAAATCTTCTATCTAAATTGGTTGAACGACCTTCTTAATCCAGAAGGATTTCATATAAATAAAAAAGGAAGATCTTGTTGAACAGAAGATACTATTTACAGAGGGCCACACAATGGATTGTTTTGTGAATACTTAAAAATGAAACTGAATTACCAATCCAAGATGGAGACAAAATCAGGTTTTAAGAACAGATTTACTTTTTCTTCATTTGTGGGAAAAACACAGAATTAATGAACATATTACATCCTTCTTTAGAGTAAATGCAACCAAAAATAAAATGAACACATGAAAAAGTGCTCCAATCAAATTCAGCTCAATAACTTTTCAGATCTGTAAAAGACCTTTGTAAAAATACTTTCGGAAGACTTTAGTTGAACAACATAATAATTCAGCTTCAAAAAATTCCAACACAGGAAATCCATGTTAATTAACATCCAATGATTCAAATCAAACCTGCCCACTCAGGATTTTGGGATTTCTCCCCATCTTTCCCCATGAAATCCATGCAATTCTGAAATCTCCCAAAATGAGCATAAAGTAGGTGGATTTTTTTTCTAATAGCATACAAAGTGTTAATCCTATTTTCACCAAAAAGTGACAAGATGCTACAGTGAAAACCAGAGAGAAGATTGGGCTAGTCAGATCTATTTTATCATACAAGTTACTTCTGGAATTCAAAATGATTTATGACAATGACAGATAAAGACTTTAAGATTTGTCACCCATTTTTCTATTTGAATTTCTGATTCAGAAGTCTGTGATTTTTCAGGGATTGGTATTCAAATAACTAGACACCAGATATGAGTGCATTAAGAAACTTCCCTCTAGTTATAAAACTTACTACAGGCATTAATGCAGTTCAAGTTATTTTTAATCTTAATTTAGTATACTAAAATGTATAGGACACTTTCCAATACAGTTTAAAGTTTTTGTTTTCTTTGCAAAATGACAGACTATTTTAATATTAACTTACTAAATGGACTCCTACTCTCTTACTTTAGAATAGCCATTTTTAATTTTATAGTGCAGCAAATTTTTTTCTATTTTCCTCAGCAATGTGTCAATATTTCAAATTAATCCTGGCATCATAGGAACAATGAGACCTCGGTACAATCTTAAATTACTCTATCTTTTAGATTTTGTACTAATAAATCCAGAGTGTCTCCTAATTCTGAGGATAAATTTCAGGGCAAATTGTAATGCATTAGCTTTTTTTCTAA